CCCTAATCTACAACTTGATGAATCATCATAAAATGAACACATACGTGTTACCACCCCAGATCACCCCTTCTCATGCCCCCTTTCTCTCCCCCAAACTCACTACTATGCTCACATCTAACACCATAGGTTAGTTTTGCCTGATTCTAAACTTTGTATAATTGGAGTAAAACAATCATGTACTCTCTGTCTGGCTTCTTTTGCTCAACACTGTGTTTGTGAGATTCACCCATATCGTATGTCACAGTAGTTTGTGGATTTTCATTGCTGTGTAGTATGTCATGGCATGAATATTCCACAGTTTATTCATTTACTGTCAACAGATATTTGGATTGTCTCCAGGTTGGGTTTATTATGAATAGTCTTTCTTGTATATGACTTTCGGGAGCTCATGTACACATTTCATTGGGTATTTTCCTAGGAAAGGAATTGCTCTGTTACCTGAATGTGCATGTGGTCAGCTGCCAAACAGTTTTGCAAAGTGGTTGTAATAAATTACACCCTCGCGGGCTTCCCTGGTGGCGCAGTGGTTGAGAGTCCGCCTGCCGATGCAGGGGACACGGGTTCGAGCCCTGGTCTGGGAAGATCCCACATGCCGCGGAGCGGCTGAGCCCATGAGCCATGGGCACTGAGCCTGCGCGTCCGGAGCCTGTGCTCCGCAACGGGAGAGGCCACAACAGTGAGAGGCCCGCGTACCCCCAAAAAAAAAAAAAAAAAAAAGTGAAGTTGAAGAAACAAAGTTTATTACTTTAAAAAAGTAAAATCTTTCTATAAATTATGTTTAAAAGGCAAGAATACTTGAAAAAAAATTTTTTAATATTGGGAACAGATCCAGATGTCAATTTCTTAGATGATCTACAAACTTAAAATGTTTGCAGACTTCCCTGGTGGTGCGGTGATTAGGAATCCGCCTGCCAAAAATAAATTAATTAATTAATTTTAAAAAATAAATAAATAAATAAATTACACCCTCGCAAGTTGTTTATGAGACTTCCAGTGGCTCCACAACAATTGTTAAGTATTTTGAATGTCAAACATTGTGTCAGCATATGGTTAAACCAGGGAATTCGATTTTTCGGAGCAGGAAGCTTGCTTGCTTAATTATTTATTTATTTACTTATTTACTTATTTACGGCTGCGTTGGGTCTTCTTTGCTTTGCGTGGGCTTTCTCTAGCTGTGGCGAGCGGGGGCTACTCTTCCTTGCGGTGCGTGGGCTTCTCATTGAGCCGGCTTCTCTTGTTGTGGAGCACGGGCTCTAGGGCGCACGGGCTTCAGTAGTTGTGACATGTAGGCTCAGTAGTTGTGGCCTGTGGGCTCTAGAGCACAGACTCAGTAGTTGTGGTGCACGGGCTTAGTTGATCTGTGGCTTGTGGGATCTTCCCAGACCAGGGCTCGAACCCATGTCCCCTGCATTGGCAGGCAGATTCTTAACCACTGTGCCACAATGGAAGCCCCTCTTCCGGGAAGCTTTTTAAGCTTGTATAGAGTCCTGGATCCCACCTCAGGCCTCCTGAGGGTGGGGCAGAGAAGACAAATCCTAGCTTCAGAGGCCTGCCAGGGTAGGTGCTCTGTTGCGGGGACTGTGTGTGAATGGAGAGTGAGAATAGAACACTTGTGTGACTCTGTAGAGAACTCTAGTGACAACTGTGGGGTTCAGGTTGGCTGGGGAAGGACCTGAGGCCAGGAAGGTGGTGGCAAACTAGGGAAGCTGGTTGGATTCAAAGATTGGAGCCCTGGACGGTGCAGGAGGTGGGAGGTGAGTGGGAGGGACAGGGGGAGCTGAGAGGATGGGAGGCCATGGTCAGAGAGCAAAATGTGAGCTTTTCAGCAGTGGAGCTGCTCCAGGTGATGAGACTACTTAGGGACCAAACCCAAACACCTTCAGGGGCAGGTAAACTTCAGACAAACAAAATCTGTCTGCTGTTTGCGGGGGCTGTGTTGTACTTTGCAGTGTTGGAATTTGTGGGGTGGGGAGGAGTGAAAGACTTATAACAATGATGTATGTTACATTCTCAGTCATATTCATATAGGATGCCTCTTAGGTCCCAAACAGGATTTGGTTGCAAGAGGATCTGGTGCCCAAGTCTTCATTGCCTCGGTGTCTGGCAGTTAGACACTGGCCCACCACAGACTCCACTCTGTAATGATCTGGACAGGGTGATTCTCCCTCTGTTCTAGGCACCAGGAGCTTGCCTTTAGTGAAAGACTCCATGCTGCCCTTTTCCTCTGGCATCTCCCAGGCAGCATTTATAACTTTTACCATAATTTATATAACTAATCTCCTGCTGGAAGACATTTAAATTTCCAGTGTTTTCCAGTTACAGACTAAACTTGTACATTAACTTTGGGAGAGTTGATATCTTTATGATGTTGAGTACTTGTTACTCCAGGGAAGTAAAGAATAAAAATTACTCTCAAGGGCAGATGGTAATACCCATTAGTCTAATATCTCTTAGTGTAGTAGAGATGCTTAGGTGCTTGATTTTTAAAAAAGAATTAGTAAATCTGAACTCTTTTCTTAAGTAAGATTAGCTTTCCACTTTATTTACATGAGTAATTTGCTAAGCAAAGATTGACGAAATTTCAGGTCACTGTTGGTTTCAGTCCGTAAATTTGGAGACCCTACATTTACTTTTAAAATTTTGAATAAACTTTTAATTTTTGGATAATTTTAGAGTTACCAAATAGGTGCAAAGAGAGTAAGGAGTGTCCCTGTGTGACCCTCATCAAGTTTCCCCCATTGTTAACACTTTATATTACCATGGGATATTTGTCAAAACTGAGAAACAGACATTAGTACATTACTATCAGCTAAACTCTAGACTTTATATAGATTTCATCAGTTTTTCCAGAAATGCCCTCTTCCTGTTCTAGGATGCAATCCCGGGTACCACACTGCATTTAGTTGTCATGTTATCCCACTCTTCTCTGGTCTATGGCAATTTCTCAGTCTTTCCTTGTTTGTTATGACCTTGACACTCTTTAGGCGTATTGACCAGGTAACCTGTAGAATGTCCCCCAGTCTGGGATTATCTGCTGTTTTTCTTATGATTAAACTGGGGTTATGGTTTTTGCAAAGAAGGCCACAGCGGTGAAGTGCCTGTTCATCACATCATATGAGGGGGAATGTGATAATCCATACAACATCACTGAGGGTGTTAACCTTCAACATTCAGTTAAGATAGTGTTTGCCAGATTTCCCCACTGTGAAGTTTCCTTTTATCCTACTGTGTTCTTTGGAAATGAGTCACTAAGTCTAGCCAAGGGG